AGATAAGTTCTGTACTATACTAAAGAAGAATGCTTTTATATATGTAATAACATTTTTTAAAGCTTAATTTTCAATTATATTTAGAACTCTAGCTTAGAGTAGATAAACTGTTGATTTGTCATAGTGTTATGACATCAAAATTAGGAAAGAATACAAAACATTTTTACAATGAACCAATACATTGAAATTTTTGTTCAGTAATAGATACTTGTATCCCATTGTGTCACTAAAATGTAACTTGTTTATGATTTTGAAAAGAGAACAAAGAATTCTCAAAAACCTTCTTGTTTTTATAATTACTAATCAGATGACCAAAGACCTCTAATCAATGAGATACAGACTATGTTTTGATTTCAATTATGTTTAATTAAATGAGAGATTTATTACATGTTGTTGCCCTTAGGTTATAAGTTGTTCTCCATTGGCAATTTTATAACCTGTAATTAGGGGGATTATCCAAACAAAAGGATAAATTCATTCATGTAACTATAAATTATAAATTTCCATCTTTTAAAATTAGTTAAATAACTAACTCTTCTTCTTTTTTATATATTTTTTTTTCATAGGAAACCTCTCATACTCATTATATTCAAATATACCATCCTGTTAAATAAGAGTAAATATCAAAATTAAGTCACTATGACAGCAAAAATTAGCAAACTATGGAGAAAATGACCTACAATATAAGGAAGCAATTGATACAATTGTCGATTTCATTTAAAGAATGTTAATTCTCATGTTTATCATCGCTCACTCAAGAATATTTAAATAGTTTAGATCCTCTCTTAGAGTGTCTATCTAGAAAACGATTTGAAAACAATGCTTTAAAAGCTGTTTTTGTAAAGTTCCAAATTACCACTCTAAATAAGTTGTGTTTAAACTTTCTTCATTATTTTATACCATGTAATTGATAATAATCGAAAAGTAATGTAATTACTGTTGATAAAGTAATCGATTGCAATCGATTACATACAAAATTCAGAGTAATCGATTATTAATGGATTGCACAAAAATCCTTCATGTAGATTACATTTGTCAGTAATCGTGCCCATCCCTGGGAATAACCAATGAATTATATAGACTTTTAGTTTGTCAAATTTCTAACACAATCATTTTTGCTAATCATCTGCAAATGGATTCCTTGGATTTGAATTTGTTTTGTGTAACAAACTGTATAGATATGCCGGCAACACAATTGTATCTCACTGTTTTTCAGCAATATGGTGCAAAGATGATTGTTAAGGAATACCTGATCCTTATTTTAGGAAAGGTCAACAATAGAACTGGTTTCTTAACATAATGTTTTTTAAACTTGATAGTGTCACGAAAACTTTCTAAGACAATTCATGTTTCTTGTTTCGGAAGGTGAATTAAGTATCACACGATTGCATACCACTTTCCGTTCTTTGATCGTAGAGATATTTAAAAAATATCTGTCTTTTTAAAAAATAAGCAAATTACAACCAAAAAAAATGTATTACAAATTGACATGTTACACTTACCCAATCAAGATGGGCGACTTCACTACACAAGAATAAACCTATAATTGTAATATCGTTTTATATTGAACGAATTAGTAAATAAACTCATCATAGATGATAGGATTAAAATTTTGTGCTATAGACGCGCGTTTCCTCTTCAAAAAAAATCATCGAATCAAAACGTTGAAAAGGCCAAATAAAGTACGAAGTTGCAAGAAGTCAGTTAGTGTCACTATACTGGATAGTGACATGCTGCTACTAGAAATGACATGATTCATACGGTTGTAATGGTTGTTGATAGTTTTAATTTATGTTGCATTTTTTTCAGACTGTTGAACTCTATAATACCATCTTGTCAATTAATTTCCATTATAAACACACAAGAGATTACTTCTGTCCCAGTAAAATTCAGTATTCTTAATTGTTATATTATACAGCTTCGTCATTATCATTACGTATCGAACGTCAAGAGTTATCAGGCCTTAAAGTTATGCAAGACAACTTTTGTGTCAACGGAGTTTTGTAGTAAGGACAACAACTATGTCGTAGAAAAGAATCATGTCGCATAATTGTTCTTAGACGGTCTCCTTAAAAAAAGCCCAATAAGTTAAAAAGTGAAAAACCAGTTTATTTTCAAGTTTGTATATCATAATAACTTAATGAACCTATGTCTAGAAGTATTTCCTTTTTACCTCGTGATAACCGTCTAGTTACTGTGTCGTGCTAGTATATTTTTGGGTTCACAGCTTGTACTTTTGGTGCATATGGAAAATTGATTTTTCCTCGGATAAACATAAGTCATAAGTAAACAAATTACTATGCCATGACACACGGTTAAATATCTGTCGCCATTCCTAATACTAGTATAAATTACCGGAATTGAAATCTTGTTGGCTGAGAATTTGTTATATTTTCCTTTACCACGGAATATTTGGTTTAGTTTTAACATCTTCTATTACGAAGTACACCAAAGAATCAGACAAGTAATTCCAACTTAAAAATGTCCTCTTCTGCAAATAAATACACAGTATAGTACACATGCAATTGTTTTAAGTCAAAGTTCATTTTGATATTTATTTAACAACATCGACTTTCGATTGTTACGAAAACTATTTATTTTGAGATTTGAGTTTATAGTGCTGTATTTAATTTGAATTTCTGTTATCTAATAATTGTTATTAATAGAACTGTATCTAGATATAAGAAGATGTGGCATAAGTGCCAATGAGACAACTCTCCATCCAAGTCAAAATGTATAAAAGTAAACCATTATAGGTCAAAGTACGGTCTTCAACACGGAGCCTTGGCTCACACCGAACAGCAAGCTATAAAGGGCCCCAAAAATTACTAGTGTAAAACCATTCAAACGGGAAAACCAACGGTCTAATCTATATAAAAAACGAGAAACGAAAAACACTTATGAACCACATCAACAAACGACAACTACTGAACATCAGATTCCTGACTTAGGACAGGTGCAAACAAATGCAGCGGGTTTAAACGTTTTAATGGTACCAAACCTTCACCTTTATCTGAAACAATAGTGTAACATCACAACATAGAAAGACACACTATAAAATATCAATTGAATTGGCTTAACTCAATCAAAAGACATATTAACACCAGTGAACATACTCTGAACAAATAAATTTGATCTATGATACAATGTAAATACAAAATAAATAAACTAAGGGAAGACTAATTAAAGTAACATATTATACCGCTGTGTATAGTTTGGCTAAAATATAGCCATAATATCGAACAATCAAATATAATTAAGAAATAACAATAATTGATAAAAAGGGTGCGTTTCACAAGACTAGTTAGAACAGTAAAAACACAATAAAATTAAGGAGCTGTGATTGCCAATGAGAAAACTATCCACCCAAGTTCAAATGAAGTGGATGTAAGCAATTATAGGCAACTATACGGCAATGAAAAAAATCCATACCGTATAGTCGGCTATAAAAGGCCCTTACATGAAAAATATGAAACAATTTAATTGAGAAAATTAACGGCCTGATTTATAACGAAACAATTTACGAAAAAACAAATATGACAGACATGAACCAACGACAACCACTGAACTACAGGCTCCTGACTTACTTGGGACAGACACATAAGAATGTGGCGTGGTTAAATATGTTTATGAGCGCTCAATCCTCTACCTAAGCTGGGACAATGGTGTTACAGCGCAACACAAGAACAAACTATAAAAATCAGTTTAAATTGGCTTAACTGATCAGATCGATACAAAGCAGAAAAACTTCTTATAAGAACACGAAACTATTTTGAGAGGAAATTATCGTAAAACCTAGAGACAAACCACAAATATCTCACACAATCGTCGCTGTGAAACAATCTATAGGTTCATTGATGTGAATTATCCACTCTTCGTAATTTCGCTCGAAATAGCTATGTTATAACATTTTTGCATGACAATAGTGATAATAAAAATTAAAAATAAAAAAATCTGAGAAGCAAATGACAACGCGTAGTGCAAATACTTATACTCAGTTAAACATTTATTTTGCGAATAGTAAGATCATAGGTGTAGTGCAGATCGGGCAAAAGTTTGTCATGGTTGTTTATCTAGCGGTATTTTTTTCTCGAGGATGAACGTAAAAAATCTGATGTACCCTTTGATCTTGATTTTTTATTGTTTAGTTAAAAGCAAGATTGTACTTTTCTATACATTTTTTTTTATTAATCATGCTTTTGTAACTGATTCTAATGGGTCGTTGTATTTTGAATAAGTACATGTAACTTGTTTATTTAAATTTGTTGGTTTTGATGGTCAAAAAACTTGTTTAACCCCGCCGCATTTTTGCGCCTGTTCCAAGTCAAGAGCCTCTGGCCTTTGTTAGTCTTGTATCATTTTTAATTTTAGTTTCTTGTGTATAATTTGGAGTTTAGTATGACGTCCATTATCACTGAACTAGTATACATATTTGTTTAGGGGCCCGCTGAAGGACGCCTCCGGGTGCGGGAGTTTCTCGCTGCATTGAAGACCCATTGGTGGCCCTCGGCTGTTGTCTGCTCTATGGTCGGGTTGTTGTCTCTTTGACACATTCCCCATTTCCATTCTCAATTTTATTATCTTTCGTTAGTTTATTGTTGTTTGTCTATTTTGTAGGTTTTTTTTACAGTCTCTACTTACTACAAGATTTTTAAAACTTTGTTATGATAAGAACATCTTATACAGAGTAGATATTTCACATTAATATGGACTTTAAAAATTGAGAAGATATTGAAACACTATAATTATTTATCAAATATTGGTCATTTTACATCAGTTTTTCATAGTGTGTATAATAACTGTTATACCTCTTATATATGCAAAATCTTTTGGACCATGTACTTAAAATATAATAGCAGAGGGCTTTAATTTAGACGTTTTCAGTTTGAACAGTGACCTGGAAATGCAAATTTCGTTTTAAAAAAAGAAGAAAAAATTACAAACTAAAGAAGAGATTGGATAATCACTACATTTCAAATCATAAGAGAAACAAGAAAAGATCGAATATAAAATTTTCTTAACCAACTAACAAATGGAGAGTAAAAGATTGCCATTACAGTAAACATTAAGACAAAACGTCTTCCTTTTTTATATCTATATCTTCTTCCTGAAAAAATGAATTGTCATATTCCAATTTTATGCTGCAAAACTTGTTATATGATCTGTTGTTGTTGTCATATGTGTCAATAATGGTCAGATCATATGTTTTCGTACGTCATATGAATTCGTACTATGCAAGGTTTTTCAATGAAAATTGTGACGTCACAATGCATTCTTAATCGCACGAAAACCCATAATACGAGGATAATATTATGTTCTTTTTATTTCGTTGTAATTATATGCCTCATAAATTGCAACGTATAAACTAATTTTCCAGAAGAAGTAAACACTTAATATAAACCACAATAGACAATTTAATTATAAAAATAATTCAGCAAATATGTACATCCGTTCTTATGTTATTTTCTTCGTCAACAATTTCTTCTCCACCTTTTTTGTTATCAATTATGGGAAGTTTGTCATTAGAAGTTTCTTTTATACAAAGTACGTCATCACAAGTTTCTCTTATGTGAGGAACGACATTACAATTTTCTCTTATGTGAAGTACGTCATCACAAGTTTCTCTTATGTGAAGTATGTCATCACAAGTTTCTCTTTCAAGCAAATCCTCAGTTTCAATGATCGTCTCTTTTTTGGGAATTTCACAATTAATTTTGGTATCACGTGTCTCATCTGTTCCACCTCCCTTATCTGTTTCATCTTCCTCTTCATTTTCAGTTTCATCCTCTGTGTCAAAGGTGTCAAAGGATTCTTCATCCCACGTTCTCATAGAAACTATATCCGTTTTTAAAGAATCATCTATCATAGTCTGATAATTTGAATCAACAAGAGTTTGGGACTGATTATTCGAAGTCAAATGTTCCGTATTGTTGCCTTCCCCGTTTGTATAAACATTTACTTTGACCTCATTATTGTGGTTTAGTTCCATGTTATTGTCTAAACCGAATGATTTATGTTCAGGAGTGACAATTGTACAACTTCTTTTATGCCTTGAACAGCATTGTTTGTTCATAAAAAGTCTAATAAGATGGAGAAGAAACAATGTAAAATGACAAATGGGAATGGCTACGAATACAATTAGAAGTGCGATCATCGATGTATGGACCGTGTCGCTCCAATCTAGGACGGAATAAATATGGGTTTTGTTTTGATGATTTGTTCCTCCCGATGCTTCGTATATGACAGAAAACACTATGTATATAATACCAAAAACTATAGGATGAAGGAAATGATAGAAACGCACCGGAATTCCAGTCATGAAAAAGTTAATTATAATATATACTATGTTCAAAGCATGTGTTTCTATATTCACGGACGTCAGTTCTTCTGAACCTGAAAAAGTAAAGAAATGCTTATATTAAAATACAGAAAATATCACTGATGAATCTGAGTTACTGTAAGTCTAAGATGAATGGCTTATAAAAATATAGCCCAAACAATAACAATGGATGAAAACTGCTCTGCCCAAACTTGTGATTATGAGCGTCTGTAATGAAAGTTAATCCAGAAAAAAAACGTATGCAGCAAAACAAAAAAGGTAACATTGGTCACTGCTATTGGTCGTATCAAGAATGATTCTATGTATGCATAGTTAAGAGGAGATGTTGGGCATCTGACGGTAACCTTAACACATTAAGCCATATGAATTAATCTGGAGGTCAACATCCGGTCTTAAGTTATAGACAAGTATATTACCATATAGTACATATAAAGCGCTTGGCTTAATCACACAATGTCTAGACACGATGTGAATAAATTCAAAAGAGACTACAAAAAATCTACCATTACCACCAAAATCAAAAATATCTGCATAAAATTATATATATATATATATATGTTTTTTAAATTATATGCTGACACTAGTATACTGGCATACTACCCCAAAGTTTATCAAATAGAGTCAAAGTTCATCAACGTTAAGGCATAATTAATTCATGTAATTTGCTTCCAGTCCTTTTTAGTGACCGCCTGATGACCAAAAAAAAAAGAATGTAAAAATATACAAAAAGGGAGAGATTGGTAGTGCAATACCAATATACTAGTTGAAAAAGACAGAGGCCACCATTGCACAAAGAAAATAGATAAAGAGGCAAACAACAGGTCACAAAACACTACACTGACTCAAATGTAAATTCAAGATTGTTACTACTTACCTGTATAAATTAGTCCCCAATACATTATAGATATCAATATACTTATAGTATTTGATACATTGAAAAACACCCAATCTACTTTCAGATACCATGGCATAATTGGGGATATATCTGAAAAAAGAAAAATCAAAACTCAAACAATAGCGAAGTGGTAGCGACATTTTGCATGTAAATTTCTTTTTTTCAGATTTAAATTTTTATCACGTGACTCTATCTAACACGTTTTTCAAATTTTTGCATTGCATGTAAGGGACATAACATATTTTTTCAATTGTATTGTACTTTAAAGTTCGTGCAGACATTCCAATGAACTTCAGTTATAACAGGGAGACCGACACCCTATGTTATAGTACAAAACATACAGTATATTTAAGTCAGGTGCCTGTTATTTAGTGATTGTTGTCGGTTGCTGTCTGTTATATTTGTTTTACTTTTGTTGTTTGATCATAAATGGAGCAGTTGTTGTTCTTGTTTGATTTAATTATATCACATTTTGTCATGTCGTGACCTTTAATAGCTGACTATACGGTATGGATTTTGCTCATATTTGAAGGTCGTAGGGTGACCCCTAAATTCTAACATCCACATCTCATTTTGAATGTGGTGGGTTACTGTCTCTCTCATTAGCTATCACACCACATCTTCCTTTTTTCTATAAAACTGTTGGTTTAATAATTTTCTCATTGAAATAAGTTTCAACGAGTGCATTCTTATAGAATATAGCAAGTATTAATAATGTACCAGTCTATCTTTTGAACTGAAAAATAGTCTTTTTTGTTTGTGGTGATTAAGTGAAAAGTTTCAAATCTCTTAAATAAATGGTGGTATATGCATCTTCAATTCAACTTGAAACAATGAATGATACAACAGGCACCAGTCTCTGAAAAAAATATACCTATATACATTAATGTTATATTCAAGTATATAGGTAACTTTTTTTCATAGACAAGTGCCTGAGCATGCTACGCCCTAATTGTGCATATTGAAATTGTTGCAAGAATATGATATTACGAAGGAATTTAATTATATGTTCACTAATTCCAACAATTACATGTTTATAAAGTTTCCACTGAATCAATCATAGCAAACTCAAGTTATGGTAGTACTATATGTGAAATGTTTACTAAAATCTGTCAATTAAAGTCCCATAACTCTGGGTTGACAAACTGGAACATTAAATTACTAGTAAATAAAATGTAGTTTCCTTTTGTCAATCCCAACACTGAATAATGTAAAGTTTGGAGGAAATCAATCGTTAGTATGCTAATTGTGAAAAATTGCCTTAAATGTAACAGTTAAAAGTTCTGTAAAAGAGAGGCGAAAGATACCAAAGGGACATTCAAGCTCGTAAGTCGAAAATAAACTGACAACGCCATTGCTAGAAAAGAAAAAGACAAAAAAGACAAACAACGGTATACAAAAAAAAAACAAAACATAGAAAATCAAAGACTGAGCAATATGAACCCCACTAAAACAAGGGGTGATCTCGGGTGCTCCGCAAGGGTCAGCAGATCCTGCTCCACATGTGGCACCCATCATGTTGCTCATGTAAGTACAAAGCCATCGATAAGTCTAATTCGGTAATTCAGTAACTCTGTAAATGCGCATGCACGATTTATAAAAAATTGTCTTAAATCTAAGGGTCAAAGTTTCGTAACTCTGGAATGACAAATTCAAATTTAAAAAAAATCGAAAGGGAGCTTTCTGTCGTCATTACTAGTGTTGTGTTGAAGTTACATGAGAATTGGTTAAAGCGAACTAGAGTTGTCCTACAAAGTGTGTAAGGGCGGATGGACGGACGGATGGATTGATGGTCGGACATTGGTATACCATAATACGTCCCGTCTTCGACGGGCGTCTAAAAATGTATAAAATATCGAAAATAAATGACAAGTCCTATACACTTCACTTATCGTCTGAGACTTAAACTTGACACACGCTTTTGTGTAAATAATTACATCACAATTTTTTGGGAAATGTGAAAAACGGCGGAAGACATTTTTTTGAGAATCATTTGAAAATTTTATAACGAAACTGAATATCAAATGTTTAAGCCCCAAATTATAACCCATTTTAGCGCTAGATTTTTTACCCATTTTAGACACAGAGAATTAATCCTCTCCTTATGCATAAACAGTAAAACTTTTGATTGATAAATTATAGCAGATATTTAAATGTATATATTGGACACCTCCAGGCTATATCTTGACATTTCAATACATGTCGATCCGATCACGGTATCAGTTAGGTATTGAACTTTTCTTCTCGTGGTTTGTTTCAACATTATTTTCTTCCATGTTTAACCAAAGATAAAAGCAAAAAACTTTAAATGTAAACAAACATTTTCACTTTAGAATTGTTTCAGAACAACCTGCAGAACGTGCATGCAATGTTTTGATGTAATCATTATTCTGAAGATTGGATTACATTCTGAATCGTGCAGTTACTTTCGGTTGGAAGGGAAACAAAAACGAAAAACAAAATATAAAGTAACTAATATTTTTTTGGCATAATGAAACTATAAAATGATAAATTTATACTTTTCCCTCTCATTATATAGGCATTTCTAGCGGTTATTAAAACACATACATGTGAGCAATTCAAAGGCCATTTAGGATTTCTAGAAAATAAAATTCTAGGAATACTTTATTGCGAAATATAAATTTCGTTATTACATGCTCAAAATAATATAATCACAAAAACGAATTCAAACGGTATATTTAAAATTCTCTAAGTATGCTTCCTAATCACAGGCACTTGTCTCAGAAAAAAAATTTCCTATATACGTGTTATATTAAGGTACTAGTATATAGGAATTTTTTTTCTGGGACGAGTGCCTGTGTTCCTAATATATATAATACATAAACTGTTGACACTGAAATATGTTTCGCCTTTCTGTAATTTTGTAAAATGCAAACGTTTAATTAAATTAAGATGGTAATACTTTCAAAGTCAATGAACCATTATTGAGGGTGCAGGGCCAAATAGTGTGGAAATAAGATATGCCATTGCTTATACAACTGCATACCAAATATCAGGAATTAGTCATAAATGGTTCCGTTTAAACTGACTTAACCACAAATTTTAACATTTAAACTAGGCTTACGTTTAAAAACCAATAGCTCAACACCGAGGGACGCCGGACGGGTAAAAAAAGTGGTATGCCAATGCTGGTACAGATGCAAACCAAATATCATCATTGACTAACAATTATTTGTTTCCCTTGCATTGACCTTATTACAAACTTTTACAACTGTTGACGCCGCCGCCAGAAACAGCACGCCAAAGTCTCGCCACTGCAACTTCTTCGAGGTGTGTCAATAACCACTGGTATATTCATTGGGGAAAAAAAGTTCACACACGGACACATTCTCATAAAAATTACAGAATATATACTAACCTTGAAGTATGTCATCTCTCTTGATACTTATATATACAACACAAATAGCATCAATAATTGTAGAGAGAGTTAAGACAAAATATGCCCAGTATGTCAAATAAATAAACCATTTGACTTGTTGACTGGGATCATAGCCAGCCCATTGATAACTATAAACTCCAGTTAAGATAATCCATGCAAAATGGTAGACTGCCCAGAATAAACGCCAGAACACATATAGTTTGTGGCAACCACACTGAAAACAGAGAAAAAATACTTTTATTAGGATGAAAATAGTAAGTTTTACAAAAAAAAGGTGTTTTTATCTTTCAAATTTTACATTTATACCGGTATAATTCGTAAATGATTTGCATATATATATATCAACAAATTCCTGAAATTGGTTGTTCCGTTGGAATTTCTTTCTTTGGTTTACACTTCGATAGACTATGTTGGTTAGAATTACTTGTAAGTAACCTATGTTAACACTGTGTCGATTTTACTGTGATATACAGTCATGAATGGAAATTTTCAATCCTTGGGTCCCAAGAAAAATCAATAACCATATGTTTGGTTGAGAATTCGGACTTTTATACAGTTTGTAAACGCATCGGCCCTCATTTACACACTGACACTAGAAAAATTTCAGAATTACGGGAAAATTTTACTATATCGATATCTTAAAGGTTCAGACGATATATAGTGCTGAATAATGACTGCCCCGTAAAAAGGGTCACCTACGGCCATTTTGCTATAAGTTCTTGGTCTTTGTACACATAAAAAATGCATGATTTAAATACTTTCTTGCTAGAAAACAAGCTGATTCCTCCTATTAATTTGGGGAGGATGAGGTATGTAAAAACCAAACTTGATGCCATATCAATCTAAAATGATAGTAATTATGTCTCATTCGATAACATCACAATAGAGGAGAGGAGGACAGGATTGTGGTGTCTATAAGATAAGTGTAACATATCCTGATACAGGAATTCCATAACGGTCAACCAAATCTTGTTCGTAAAAATTTCGAAGGAATGATTTTTATTTCATATATCTTAAAAAAAAACTGACTCAGGGCAAAGTCTGGTGCTGGGAAACCAGGCTTCGAAGTTCAGTATAATATAAAACATTAAAATATAGGAGATCCCCTACTATACACAAATGTTCTGAAAGCATGCAATCCCCTTTAAATATTTAGAATCTGGAATTGTGAACGTCAGAGTGTGGATTTTCTTTTCTACCCACAGGTAGTCATCAATCTGCCAATGATTAATGAAAACCGATTATTTCAGTATTTTATTCTGTTATTTTCTTTGATGAATACACTGGCCTTATAACGAAGATCATAGCCTGGGATGGGAAACGAGGTTTCGAAGTTATAGGAGACATCCGACTATACACAAATGTGATGAAAGCATGTACAGTGACCCTTTCAAATATTTAAAATCGTCTGGGAATGTGATCGAAGGTTAGAGTGCGGATTCACGTTTCTACCCTCAAGTTATCTCTACAAAATGGTGTAAATACAAAATAATGATAATATAAAAGAATAAAACGCTGAAATTATCGATTATTCTTTTATATTATCATTATTTTGTATTTACACCATTTTGTAGTGATTCTTGAAATTACGTCTCTGTTTATTTAGTAATTTATCAAAATCTGTCTGGAATGGCGACATACTTCGATTGACATGTCTCGATTATAACTAAATATTACGTTTTATCTGGAAATACGAACAGTTCGATGATCAACTTAATTGCGGATACAAAATTTTCAATGTATTTGGGAGAGGGGGCACAGTGACTTAAATTTATGTGTTACGGGTGGGCAACTAGCAGACCAGGTAACCACAATTATCATATATATTTTAACCTTATACACATATGTCAGGAAGTGACCCCAAGACAAAAAGCTGACCTAGTGCCACCGTATAAATATATACGTGATCTATCGTGATTAGATGAGATAAAAAGATAATAGAATTTGACAAATATTAGATTAATTTATGATGTTTAACATTTATCAATAGATATCAAGATCTGATTAGATGTGGATACATGTACTTTATTTATATTGCCGCGTTACTTATGTAAATGTAAAATTAATGATATTAACCTTATCACAAAATATATTTATTATCGATTTTGTAGCCTTAACAGTTATTGTGGACCATAAAAAATAGACCTTTTTCAGTTGCTCATCCCTACCACTTTAAATAAAGCAAGTGACCCTGGGACTTCATATCTTAAAATATAGCTACTCGATCGGCAGTTAGCTGAGAAATTTCATTTTTCACTGTTTCTCTTTGTCACAATTTCTTTTCAAGATTTCTAAAAAAGAATAATAAACCACCGAGTTCATTGGCGGTCTTTTGGCGGGTTTGTTTGTGCTGAGTCTTTAATTGTCTCTGTATTTCTTTCATTTAGCTATAAATGTTTCTCACACTAATTATGATAGGTTGTATCCTTAATATCCTGGAATGAGTTTCACAAAAAATCTTAAGACTAAATTTGATCGAAGTGTACGTCTACTATATTGTGTAAGACTTACGATCACCTTTAGTCGTAACTTTTTTTGTGATGAAACTCATTCCTGGTACAATGTACCACCTTAATGATTTAAAGGCATATTGATCTTGAAGTATGACCTAATATTCTTTTTTTAAATCAATAAATTTATTTGTTTGAATAAATCACTTACAACTCATCATCTTAATGTGAAGAATGATAAAATCCCCATTAGTAGATGTTAAAGTGGTCACTCGTCAATGATTTATTAATGACATGTCTGTTCCGGGTCTACTGAGAGGTAACAGTTATGGTGGTCAAACAAGACTTCCTACTTAACATATTGTTGTAATGTTCCTAACTTTTCTCAAAATGTATAACTAGCCGATTATAGGCTAGGAAATAAATAATGAAGTTTTTTTTAATGCCGTTGGTACAAGTATTTGGAAGAACTTTTTTTATTCTGCAAAAATAATGAGGCACATTTTAGCATATAATTTATAAATTATTCTGATGTAAAATAAACTTTTAGATTAAGATGATAACGAAAAATTAATAAGAAACCGTAAGGTTCTAACTTCCTCCGCCAATGTTGACCCTAGGTGAGTTTGGCTATTCTTTTAAGGGACCTTTTGGTCATATAAATCCTAACGTTCTATGTATTTATACATCCCTACCCTTTAAATGTTTGGGTTTAGGCGTACCTATAGTAAACCCAGAGAAGCACTTTGGACGCACGATTTTTCATAAGCTGTTATTTTTCACTCACGTAATCTCAAAACAGGGGATCTAGGACAGACAGTAAACAGACAATAGTTTCATTCTTAAACAGGTTTTAAAACCAGGGTTAGAAAATTGCGTACAAATATTAAACTTATATCATATTGATCCACGTGAAAGCATAGGTTCTATTTCGTCTTTTTTTTTATGCTAAATTTAAATTAAATTCTTCATATGAGTTTTGACAACTTTTACATACATTACAAAAGAAACCTTTTTACGCGTTCACCTTTAGTGAGAGACATCTATTAAAGTGCATGTTGTCCTTATTAAAAATACATTATTAAAGGATAATAAAATAAACAATCAGGTAATTATTTTTGTTGCTGGTTCATAAAAGTAAGTCAGATAAAACTGAAAAAGGTCGAAGCATAAAAAGATAAAAAGAAATTAAGAATACATCATGGAATAAAACTTGAAAAATATGGAAGTTAAATGTATATAGTATACTTACTTGAAAATTGACGAAATCATACGGACTGACGTAATCCAAGAAAATATGATATCTTCTAAATTCATGTTTACAGAAGTTACCACAGCTCGATGACATCAGTAAATCAACTTTGAACCAAAGAATTGTAATAAATTGATCATTGATTAAAAATCAGCATCTTAAACTAACTTTGGATTTTCATGGTGGACAATATTATACGGTCACTTCCGTTCGTTTATCTTAAGATTATATCTCGTTAATCCGTTAAGAATCATGGATTAACACATCCTAGAATATTAAATCTTAGAAATTCAAATATTGTTTTCTAAAGGTATGTGTTGTATTACGCACGCATCAATAAATGATCAATAAAAACATAGTCTGAATCATTTCTCCATCGTTATTCAGGTATGACGGAAGTAACATATATATTTCTATGATATAAGTACATGTAGTTACGGGTGATTGACAGGGTGGATTATTTTACGTAAATATATGTAAAATTACAAAATATTTGAGTTTGTTATCAAACTTAAGTGAAAATTCACTTAACAAAGAAACAAAATGTTGAGGTGAATTTATTTATCTACACATGTATCATTTGAGTCCATATTGTCATTTTCCGAATAGAATTTTTTCAATCAAACATTGTCCTAGATTGTGACGTGTACCCAATTGTTGTATGAAGTAGAAAAGACATTTAGTAATGATAAAATATCGAATAATTGAGCTACTATTTATTTCTTTTATATTTAACGTAAACAGGTACTATGTACGGCCTCCGGTCGTATAATTTATTTTTGACAGATTTATTTTGTTGGTTTTCAATAAGCTCCAATCTTTTGTAGTTACGAAAATTTGTGTGTAATCTAATAATGAAAGAGTTCACACCATATCCTTTTAAAATGACATTTCATCTAATAAACTTATATGCTCATTTGCAACTGATTTTTACAGTTTGTTCTTATGTTGCGCTGTAACGCCACTGTCCAAGGTTAGGATGAGGGTCGAGAGCTCACAAACATGTTTAACCCCTCCACATTCTTTATGTGTCTGTTCCAAGTTATGAGCGAGCCTATAATTCAGTGGTTGTTGTTAGTTCATGTCTGTCATATTTTTTTTTCGTAAATTGTACTGTTATGAAATTGACCGTTAGTTTTCTTGTTTGAATTGTTTCACACTTTTCATGTTGCGGCCTTTTAGAATGGCCCAAATCTTAAGTTGTAAGTCCTCAAACATTTCATTTCTTGGGCCAAAAAACAACGGGTCTTTATGTCCCTACTCCGTTTTCACTACGTTTTTTTTCTTTTTAAGAATATGATTCAGAGATATGGCTGACACTTGAACATTGAAGAAATGTCATGCCAAAATAAAAGAGGGGCGAAAGATACCAGTGGGATTCAAACTCATAAGTCGAAATAAAACTGACAACACCATGACTAAAAAAGAAAAAGACCAACAGACAAACAACATTTATTTTTACACAAAACACAACATAGAAAACTAAAGACTGAGCAATGTGAACCCCACCAAAAACTGGGGGTGATCTCAGGTGCTCCGGGAGGGTAAGCAGATCCTGCTCTACATGTGGCACCCGTATATAGATAAATAAATAAACGTGTATTATGATGGTTATAAATAGCCTTACATAAAACAAATCTTTTGGTTTTTGTTTGTTTGTTAGGGAAAATCTTCATGCTTTTTTAAAAGTTGATGGATTAAACATGACTTGTACTAAAAAAATGCTAAAATCTACCAATAATTCAGTTTTAATCCATCGTAAGATATTTACAATTTGATCAAATGTTATTACGACATACATGTAACAATGTGGAAATCACAAAGTTAACACATCAAGTTGTGACATGACATTGTGAATCTGAGTAAAAATTGAAATACTTCTCAATTTGACTTTAGAATTAAAATAATTTCAGGAGGAATTGGTAGCCTGGGATCCTGGCTCACTGCTCGATAGTAGTTCTTACTGACAAGAAGAGGAGATTATACCAGGATCCTAGACTAGGGAGAATAGATTTACCTCCATCAGTTCCAGTTAGAGTTATCTTTCTTTTATCTTTATTTAAAAATTTGATTTATCTATTTAAAAGTACATCAATACCAAAATGGGGTTGATGCCATACATGAAATCAACAAAATAATGACAACAAAGTAAATATGTACATACATCATAAAGAAGATTGAAGTATTGGCTAAAATATACGTGTAGTATTCGTGCAGTTGTCGAGTCATTTCTTCATTAAGTGACTTTTTAATGAATGGAGCACTAGGCTGTTTTCTGTTCTTTCGTCGGGTTGTTGTCTCTTTGACATATTCCCCATTTCCATTTTCAATTTTACAACTGACGGACATGAAAGACATACAACTAATTTATTGAAATTATCCATAATCATCTATATTTGAATATGTATTCTTAACTTTCTATAAACATTGGAGTCAAATTTACATTTCTGTTCTTAGCATTTTTAAAAGAACATTCTATTCTATACTTCATTCATATGACATTCCAATGTATTGAACATGTTTGTCGGGCAAAGCGTTAATAAGTAAAAACTGTAACTATAAATTTATAGCAATTATGCATAAACTGCTGTGTTATAAATAATAAAAATTGAAACAAACATTAAAAAGTTGATGCCTTTTTGATATTAAAAATATCTGAAAGTAAAAAATAATACGGGTTGATTAGTCATTTTTATATTTTAGATGCAGATAGCTACTTTTTGATATCTTTTTTGCTATTCCCTTTTTAACGTTTGAAAATTTAGTGAGAAATGCTTACATTTGGCACAGTTTTTGCTTATATATATATATCATATCTATATAGACGATATGAAATATAAAGGAAGTATTTAAAGTACATTTTCATTGATAGTTGTTTGGAATATGCACATGCCTTAGGGAGCTGAAAATCTAGTAGCAGAGGTACTGACAGAATGTGATTTGCGATGACACGTGTTCCGGAGTAACCTTTGTCGAGTGAGCCTGAAGCCAAACGTCAGGGTAGCCAAGTGCAGAACGTTTATAGAAACCAAAGGCGCCACAACAGACCAACTACAAATGTCTGAAGTCTATTCTGCCGGAGGAAGTTCATAAATCTTAGTTTTAGGTACATTGCATAATTTATTAGTATACAAATTAAGAAGCAAAATAAATCAATTCAGTCATGTCTATACCGTCGCACTGAGTAGTGCATGGTGACTGAAACTCTGGCAACCATAGTTTTCATATTTTTATATGATTTGTAAACTGACAATTTACATTTTTTTGCACGTTAAAAGACAGTTTAATAAAAAAAGAATAACCCAAGAATCCAAATTCGAAAAATATACAACTAGTGACCGGACAACAGTGTTGTATGCATGCAAATCTCGTGTGTAACAGCAGATTTCCGCTACCCTTTGTCATCTCAAGAGCCATTATAGTACCACGACGACATCCGACATACAACCCATGCTCATCTGATTTAAACTCGTTAGATCACAGTCGATTTTAAGTTGGAGCGCCAAGTGTAACGTAGAGCATCAGTGTCCTTCAAAATTACCACTGTACCAGACGAGGATCGAACCCGTAAGCCACCGTTCTACGTGTATACCAATAACTATACTCTATACCCAACTAGCGCAGCTGATAGAGAGCTGTTTTATACCTACTTCTTCGAGGAAAGTACCACTACACTTCCAATATTGCAAGTCATTAAACCATGACGATACCGGACATCAAACCCATGCTCAACAGATTTTATTTTTTTTAATTCACTGCTGATTTATAGTTGGAGCACCAAGTAAAACGTAAAGCATTGTGTTCCTTCAACGTTTTCTCTGTACCAGATTTGGTTCAAAACCCGAAACTCTTGCATAGTAAGATATCGCTCTACGTGTTTACCAAATGAATACAATATACTCTACTAAACTAGCTAATGGAGAGAGGTTATACATGTATATCTGCAAGGTCAAGGGAAGCACCACGGCAATTCTTGGTTCAGTTATTCTATAAGTTGGATGTAAAACGAATTCAGTACTCATCCATCCATTGACCTCTACGGATGGAAAAGAGACAATTTGTATTCATGATATATTTCTTACAATGTAAGATTTAACAGAATTTGTTCATAGTAGTACTGTTTATATGTGATCTCTTGTTTATTAACTGCGCATGTTTGGTTTATGCAGCCGGTAGTGTTAAAAGGGTGTGTACCTGTTTATTATTTGCTATGTTTATTGACTATGTATGTTTGGTTTATGCAGCCGATAGTGTTAAAGAGTGTGTACCTGTTTATTATTTGCTATGTTTATTGACCACGCATGTTTGGTTTATGCAGCCGATAGTGTTAAAGAGTGTGTACCTGTTTATTATTTGCTGTGTTTATTGACTACGTCGGTTTGGTTTATGCAGCTAATTGTATTAAAGAGTTGTAACTTTTTATAATTTTTTTTGTAATCTATAGAGTTTGTGTTGAAAAATGAAGAAAAAAAGGACCAACAAAACAAGACTGTGGATATTTGTGTGCTGAATTAGTGTTAGTTAGAGTTGTCTCATTGGCACATTTGCTACAACGTACTTATTTAAAAAAAAAGAAATAGCCTGGTGGGTCTAAGCTGTAGCGTTAAAAATTATAAAAGTAAATTATCTTAACTGCATGCCTCTATAGAAAAAAGATGGTAATATATTTTGTTGTACAAGGGCTTAAATTTTGCCTTGCTAAAGGCAACCTACCGACACACAATACAGGAAAATAATTACTCAGATAAAAAATGAAAGAGTTGAATTTGTGTTTTTAATTTATTTATTTTTGGAATCAACATTAGTTATCATCTCCTTTATCGTCCTTTCTGTCATCAGCCTTGCGGTTGACGATGATCTTATTGTCATCGTCAGTCATATTATCTTTGATTTCATCAGCGATTTCATTCATTACTTCAACTTTATCTTTTACATCATCAATAATTTCATCAATTTCATCAGTTTCGCGGTTGACGATGATCTTATTGTCATCGTCAGTCATATTATCTTTGATTTCATCAGCGATATCATTCATTACTTCAACTTTATCTTTTACGCCATCAATAATTTCATCAATATTATTACTGTCGATCTCGTTACTTTTCACGTCATCACTTATTTGATTTTCCAAAATATTTTCAAATTCATCGTCATCAAAGTCAATGAAATCTTCTTTAACATCATCAGTAGAGTCTTCTAATTTGTTGTCTGAATTATCGTCGTCAGATAAATCTACATCTCCACTGTCAAGATCCCATGGCCCATTTTCAAATTCATCACGCGAAAGCATTCCATCGCCTGGAAAACAAAATGTTGAAAAATATAAATAGATGAAAAAAGAGGCGGAAGATACCAAAGCGAGAATAAAAACTCATAAGTCGAAGAGAGACAGACAAAGTCATGGCAAAAACAAAGAAACCGAAAAAAGACAAACAACAGTCTACGAAACACTAAATAAAAACTAACGATTCAACAAAAGGAACCCCACCAAATTCGGATCATTAACTTACCGTATATGAATAGCTTTTATTATTATAAGTAGTGGTATTGCAATTACATGTATTTAAACATTTAAATTCAGAGTCAACAGGTTAGAAAGCCAAACAAAGACACAAAGGACAGGGCGATAATGGCCTTATGTAGGTCAAATATGGTCCTTAGCCTTTCTCCTTTGACCAATTTTAACTAAGTATCAATCATAAATTACCATATATTAGCTCTGTTACATAAATTTATATATACCCTGCCGAGTACTATTACAGAAATAGCAAAACAGACGTATAATGGAAACGATTTAGATTCAAGGGAATTTCCCGGAGAACGATTCCTGTCCCGTTACATCCCTTCTTGATCTTTGTGTGGCTACCCGTTTAGCATTTATGTCTAACTTGTTAAAAGGTAAAAAAAAATCTATTGTATATTATGTGTGTCGGACTGTCTGGGTCAATTTCATTTACAGCTTTTAAGGAAGAGAAGGTCTGTGGATCAACCGAAAATGCAGGTCACCTTGAATTTTCAACTTGGCATTTTTTAAAGTAAGGAACTACTTTTGGCGATGTATCTTGTTTATTTAGTGGTAATTTCTTTTCATATTAATTTACCATTATTTTAAGAATTCAATAATTATTTTATTCACAAATCACTTTTCAAAAATCATTTATTATTAAATGATAATATTGCGACTTGAAAAAAATACATAATTAGAAAATGCAATAACCTTGCTAAAAATAAACCATCTGAATATTGATATTAATGAGCTGGTCAAATTGTTACAAAGTCTAGATAATGAATAAATGGTGCAATAGTCAAAATATGAAAGGAAAGAAACGTTTTATTTATAGGAAACTTTTATTTCACAAGAAGAACAAAAGATTGTTTTAAATTCTTATCGGCGATTGGAGCATGTTAGTTTCGACATCATTCGTATCTCATTTTGAATGTGTTCATAGCTCTTTTACTTTTGATTAGTTGGCACTTCAAGAATTTGGCATCACTGATATAAACAATAAGGTACATGTATCATGGTTGATTTCCTCTGTCACGATTTGTTTCATAAGGATAAAATGAAAAAAATCAGTTGGGAATAAACGTTATCGCTATTTAGAGAATGAGGTAGACAAGAGAAGAGATAATGCTACACGAACTATTCACGTCATACAATAATTGATATGGAAATGAGGCGTTTAATTTTTTAACTTTTGACTTCAAATTTTTAAAGATCCAAACCAGTGTTATTGAGAGGCTTTTTGATAACTATACATAGTTTATCGATAAAGTAAGAAATGTTTTTGATGCTGAACATTTCTGGTTCAGATGAGTTTGATGCAATATTTCAAATTGTATGTTTGACCTGTCTTCTGTTGCAAAATGTACTGTATTCTTTAGTAACCTCAAGATTAAACCTGTTTGTTGTGTCTTGGGTTACTGTCTCCATGGCGAACGCTGATATAAAAAAAAAATATTTCGGTATCTTGTCATATTACAAGTGGGTCTAGATGGGGTTTACACAATACATGTACTTTATAATGGGTAAAAAGTGCAGAATAAAGGACCAAACATATAAAGAAAAGAGGAAAACTGACATTAAAATTAAAGAATTAAAAAATAAAGGATTCCCCCACCCCCGACCCATCCAGACCCTCATATTTCTGGTCTAGACTACATAATTTCTTGTTGATTGCAAGTCCCCGACTTTTATCATGGCATTAACAACATTGCGAGTATTGTGTTTGTACCGATAGGTTACATTTATTTGTCAATTGAGAAGTTTTCAGTTTAAAGTGGATAACATCTTATGTTACCCGAGTGATGCACAGGTGCTGTTCTTCACCTAGTTTTGGCATCATTTTGATATTTTTTCTCGGTTAATTGCTCTTCAACGTGCTTTATAGTTGCTTTTTTTCCAATATCTGGCAATAAAATCAATTGCCGAGAATAGTTTTACGAAATATGCAATATGTGCAACAAATTGATTTCTGCATGTATATGTGCAACAAATTAATTTCTGCATGTAAATGTGCAACGAAAAATCTGTCCAAATTGCGGTCTTGTTCAATTGTCAGGCATTTATAGTTTGTGATTGTGTTTAAAAATAAGCAATAATTTTGTTAAAATACATGATGCTTTGTTACTGAAAATTTAAGTAAAAATTAAAAATGGTTCTGGACGATGGTCTTTCTTCTATTTAGATATCCATATTGTAAACTGGACCCCTGTTGCGTTCACTTGTCGCTACAAAAACCTTCGGTGCGGAGATTTAGATGGAATGGGGGACCAGTTTCTCCATATTGTATCTAATAACTTAAAAATTCCAAGTTTGTTTATGAAATTAGGAGATAACATAACATAACGAACTAATACATAGTTTATTATATATGATAAAGCATTTAGTTAGTTATTTATTTATCATAATTTACTGTATAAAAGAGTTGAACTCTGCCGAAACAAAACAGAACCTATGACTGCATGCATAGTAATAAGAAGATGTGGTATGAGTGCCAATGAGACAACTCTCCATCCAAGTCAAAATTTATAAAAGTAAACCATTATAGGTCAAAGTACGGTCTTCAACACGGAGCCTTGGCTCACACCGAACAGCAAGCTATAAAGGGCCCCAAAAATTACTAGTGTAAAACCATTCAAACGGGAAAACCAACGGTCTAATCTATATAAAAAACGAGAAACGAGAAACACATATGAACCACATCAACAAACGACAACTACTAAACATCAGATTCCTGACTTAGGACAGGTGCAAACAATTGCAGCGGGTTTAAACGTGAATACACGTACTCCAAGGTGTATGCGTAGACGAAATTGCGATTAACGTCATATGGCAAACATTACATTCATATCAGAGTATAAGTAAAGATTATAACATGCCCTTTTCCATATTGGCCCTGATATCATCCCGAGACTCCCATATCTGCCCGAGGCTTTAGTCGAGGGTCGATATGGGTAGAAGGATATGATACCAGGTGCCAATATGGAAAAGACATGTTATAATCTATTTATCACATATCTAATTTCTGCAGAAAAGAAAAAAAAAACGTCCAATTATAACTATTTAATTAACCACAACAGGTAAAATCTAAAAAAGATTATCACATTGCGTACAAATTTATTGTAACATTTCCCATTATTTATGAATATGGTGATATACAAAAGTGGTAATTTGCCATAGCTAGGGCTAAATCGACAGTAGTTGGTTGGACATTGTTACTATAGTTGCCATAGTAGCAGAATTCTTATAATACAAACACCGTCATTGTAGTTTAGGACGCAATGACATCACGTCATTTAGAATCTGGGCACAATAACCAATAACCACTGTTTTGCCCGGGACAGCTATATACGTAGGACAATTTTGCGGTTATTACATATGCAAAACCCAATGTTTTCGTAACAAATTTGTGATAAAGGTTTTTAGGCGCAATGAAGTGGTAATGCGCTCAAACGTAGTCCGTCAATCAGGACAGTCTCGAACACGTTAGTGTGAGCTTTGAACGGAAGACTGATTACTGGACACCAAATAAACATAAAATTGAGAATGGAAATGTATTGCCAAATGACTATCGGCAATAAACATTATTTCAGTATATAACGAACAACGATTTAGCCAAATTCCGGTTAAACATTTTTACTTTACCTACATTGCAATTACACTAATTGATTTGCTTGTTTATATACCCTTGGGAAAAACATAACGTTATAAAATTATTGACACGAGCAAGTCATTTTTCAAAGATCAAATGAGCTGCATGAATTAAAAGTTGAACGCTTTGAACATGACCCTTTTCGCCTAAAACAATTTACGATGATGAACCACTTTAAACTTAACATGTAGGGAAGAAGGACGCAGGTACTTACAACTTACAAAATACAGAAATGTATTTGTTGCAAATATTGCATATTTCGATAATTTATGTCCATGAATTGATCTTGGATGCAGGAATTTGAGTAAAACAAGGACATATACCCCCGCCCCTCCCTAAAAAATAGCAATCGTTAACGTTAATAAATCATTTTCTAATTGAGAGGGTATGATTAGGCCATTTTTTTAACCCTCAATTGAATTCAAGAATCAAAAAGTAATATAAATCGACCAAATAACATCTTTCAGGGTTTGTTCACAAAACACCACAGTCTTTCGGACATCAGTATTTATATTTTTGATTTTTTTCTTACATATGGGCATTAGGGCTTCAATATTCTTACATTATATAGTGCAAAACAGAAAAAAAAACTGATAAAAGAGCCTCATTTTTAGATTTGGTCATTAATATTTTACTCAGAACGATATTTTGTTACTAAATGTATTTTATAAAGATATAATATTGAGCTGGTGGTCATACATATTTTGACCCAAAATTATGCATGCCATGGCCCTTTTAGGTGCAAGTTTATGACGGCATATTGACATCACAAGTGACAATAAAGTGTCCAGATTATGTTCACCTATTCATTTATCAATATAATATACATGTAGCTGTTATCATACACCCATCTTTATGTTGATCATTGAGTGGTTGTTTCGAATTTAACATTGTTACTGGTATAGATTCGAACCCTGAGACTCGAGAGACAATACAACTGATCGAGAATCTATACTAATCCCCATACACAAAAAAGTCAATCCATTACACCTTTCTTACAGCATTCTTATTCTTCAAGCAATTTTATAACTTTCCGTTATGCAGGTACAGTAAATGATATAAGAACTCATCTTTTCTATAAGTCACGATGCATTTTTGTCAATATTGATGAGATTTATGATTTCCCGTCCTGGCTGTGGATTT